GAGTTTCACCGACTCATCAGGAGGCTGAACCCTCAACAGTCTGCAGAATCCCCTCACTGATTACACTGTAAGTGATAATCCACCTTAACCAAAATCAAAGTAGACTATCACTCATATATATTATATATATACTTCTCTCTCTCTGCCTAAGGTTTACCGGGCAGTTCTGTCTGTGATGGCGTACGTGTACGCGGGTTGCGCGTACACGCGTACACGTATCCCTGTACGCGACACGTACGCGCGTACACGTACTCCCGTACGTGGGAATACGTAAAAAAAAAAAAAAAAAAAAAAGTCATCGAAAAAATCTGAAAAAAAAATATGTTATGCACAATGATATTTCAAACAACTTTTGCCTGAGACTCATCTCGAAATTCTGTACCAAACTCGAGTTAAAAATCAAAGGCACAAAAAACAAATAAATTGAAATAATTAAAAAAAAAACTAGGAAAAAAAAACACAAAAATAAAAACAAACTTCTATAACAAATATATGTTATGTAGAAACATGATACAAACAACGTTTGCCTGGGATTCATCCCCGAATTCCCAACCAAACTCGACTAAGAAATTAAAAATTAAAAAAAAGGTAATATTATCATAATAATTAAAAAACTATTTAAAAATATTTTTTTAATTTGTTAAGGTTTTTTATTTTTAAATCGAGCTTGGTTCAGAATTCGGGTATGACCTTCAGGCAAATGTTGTTTGTATCATTATTCTGCACAACGTACTTGTTGTTCAGATTTTTTGGATTTTTTTTTTTACGTACGCGTATGCGCGATTTTGGGTTCGTACGCGTACGCACTGCGTACGCGTACGGGGTGCTACCCAGATATAGATATATATATTGTGACGATATATATATATATATCGTCACAAATAGAACTGCCCGGTAAACCGTAGGCAGAGAGAGAGAAGAGGACAACAAACGAGGGGCTGTGACAAACTGTTTCGTAGGAGTTTCACCGACTCATCAGGATTGTCACATAACTATGAATATATATAGATATACGAGTTGGTGAAACTCCGAGGAAACATTTCGTCACAGCCCCTCGTTTGTTGTGCTCTTCTCCCTCTCTGCCTACGGTTTACAGGGCAGCTCGGTCTGACGATATTGTCACAGCCCCTGGTTTGTTGTCCTCTTTTTTTTCCGCCTACGGTTTACCGGGCAGCTCTGTTTGACGGTATAGTTTATATATATAGTTTCATTATTTCATACAAGTAAACCCGCCACGGCTATGCCGTGGCAGGGGAAAGGCAGGTAATTGAAGATGGGAATTTCTTATCCGAAAGTGAATGAAGACAGTCCCACCCCAGGCGCGGCCATTATCTGGCCCGGGCGACATTGAGGGTGTTTGTTTTAGAACATGAGGGACGTGCAGCGTTTGGGGGGGCATCGGCCAAGGCATCAGCACGCCGTAAGATCCTTTGCAAATCAGAATTATTTGAACTCACGTCTGGAATTCAACAGTTTCATGTGTGCATCAACTGAGCAGCCTGCCAATGTGCAAAATGAGAAGGAATCTTCCGCAAGAACATAGGAAGATACACAATGACAAACAGATGCATTGAAAAGAAATCCCTGTGTGAGTATGAACTAATGAGCTTCCAGATGCAAATCTCGTCATGAGAGAGAGACAGACACAGTGTCAGACACAGAGAGAGAGAGAGAGAGAGAGAGAGAGAGAGAGAGAGAGAGAGAGAGAGAGAGAGAGAGAGAGAGAGAGAGAACAGGTAAGTCTCCAACCTTGCGGCTGGCCTCATGGTACTCCATCGATAGGATGAGCAAAGCCGAATGAATCTACCGCTAGAACATGGAAATATACACTGCGACACTCGTTT